CCCTCTCTAAATACTATCGACCAGAGAAGAATGCTCCTGAATTTCGTAGAAATTCTTCGTGTCCTCTATTTCCACACATTTAGTTAGGTTAGGGCTGCGCATCAAACTGTCTTAAAGCTTCCTCACAAACAGCGGAGCTCTCCCAGGCTGTCCGCACTCATCTTTTTCTTTCAGCTCTGTTATCGAAGTTATCACGGACTGAACACTTCTAGGAACCATGAATCTAGTTGACAAAATCACGTATGGAGTGGTTGTGGATTTGGATTAGGTGGACTCTGTCGTAAGGTTGTTTAACAAACGTTTATTCCACACGCATTCGAAGGTGATCCCATGTTGTACCTTCATTATCAGTCTTCTTTCAACACTTTCCATCGTCTTGTGACCCTCTGAAACTGCAGAATAAGAAGCTTGAATTTGTTGATGCGTCTAATTACCTTGGTAGCTACAAAGGCCATGAGGATGAAGTTACTACGCGGATATTCAAAATGCGGTCAGCGTTCGCCAGCTTGTGTCATTTACGGCTTCAGAGATGAAGTTCACTGATGCATTGTATACAGGTAAACTTCAGCAGCGGTCTGAAATCGTGCTCGTGAGATTTGATCCTTTCGCTCCGCAAAGCTTACGCATCATCAAACTGTTAGCCCCGGTTTATCCGGAACAACAAACTGCTAACTGGTTTCAGCGAATACGCAGCGAAATTGCAGTTATTTGGTAACGAATCTGAATCGTTAGAGCAGCACACTAAACTTACAGGGTTAAGCTGGATGAAGCATGAATTATGACCAAACGACCGTCTACCCAGGAAAGTGTTGCTTCCCTTTCCGAGACATTGTTGGGGAAAAGTTCTCAGGGAATGAGCCATAGCTATCAACGTGAAATGAAAGCGCCTAAAGTCAGAGCGCCGTAGGATCTCCGGACTTTTCGGGCTGGCGCCCATGCAATGCTGAGTGCACTTGATTGAATACCCTTAAGGACATGTAACGCAACTGATCCCATTGACACCTGTTGTCATTTTCTAGTATGTACTGTCTAGACAGATTCATCGTGTAATTGTGTGCTTAGCCTATGTCGCCTGGGGTTCGCAAGTGATGCTGAGTGAACCCCGCAGGTGGCGCCTGAATGGGGTAGGATGCCTGGATTCCCTCAATTTATTTTTGTCAAAAGGTGTAGGCACCTTTATTGACTTCTCCCCAGACATGCGGCTTCTTTTGTACCAAGTTCCAAACCTCTTGCTTTTCTTTCCACTTTGTACTAAGGCATCGTTTACCAAGGTCAATCTACCAAGTCAATCTCTAGTGTTTATTACTGGTGCTTCGATGTCAGTGCTGGTGCAAATGATGATGAAATCGTGTGATCGCGGTACACCTTTTTTTATTTGAAAGTAGTGGTAGTTCCAGAACGCGCTCATTCAGCCCGATGGGCTTACACCCAGTTGGACTCCATATTGGTTGACACGGTTTATGGTGTTGTTGTGTTGTAGGCTGTTTTTTTCACTAAAGTCTTATTCTCTGTTATATGTGAGCTAGGGATATCTCAGAGGTTAAGGCTTGAACTTACGGACAGGAAGGTCCGTTGTTCAAACTCAAACTAAATATCTCAACCACTCCTGTCTAAGCTTGGGCAACCTGGCAGTATCTCATTCCCTCCATGACATGGCAAGCTTGGCAAAAGTCTTATTCTCTGTTATATGTGAGCTAGGGATATCTCAGAGGTTAAGGCTTGAACTTACGGACAGGAAGGTCCGTTGTTCAAACTCAAACTAAATATCTCAACCACTCCTGTCTAAGCTTGGGCAACCTGGCAGTATCTCATTCCCTCCAGTGACATGGCAGCTTGGCACCGAAAGGATGCTGAAGAGTGATAAATATTATTTATTCTATTGCCGCATATTATGCTAGAAAACTGAATGGGACCGGTTTGATGAATTTCAGGTGCACTGAATCTGCATGATTTCACATTTTCTTGAGCTCAGAAGGCAGGACATCTGCTCGTGTTCAACCAAACAAAGATCCACATTTGGATCTTGGTGGAGACTAAGTTAATCTACTATCGCCGGTTATAGATACACAGCAAATCTTCACTTCTGTAACTAACCTGGCCGAAAGGTCTGACTCCAAACGCAGTATCTTTTGCGGGTGGGTTTACGTACGGTAGTCTGAGCAAGTATATTTATCAGTTGGAATTCACGATAGAAAGACTAGAAAGAACTATGGAACTTGAGGCTGCGCAAGCCAATATATCGTTAGTGGATATTATACGTGTAACTGGACTTTTCAGTTCTGGCAGCAAATTTTCTTTTCTGTGAATAAAATATCCAAAGATGCGTTGAAAATGGATGAATATTCATCGTTACGTATGAGCCAACTAAATGACGAAAGCATACACTTTTTGACTACGGGCACCCATTTTGCTTTTGGTAGCGCTGGAGATATTCCCTAGTTTTATCTTTAAGATCCACATAAAACCTAGTCATATTCCAGTACCTAAAACAGAAAGCCTTCAATGCGGTCCCACGGAGTTAAAAGCCCTTTTAGGTTGGATAATTCCCCTTCCGGTGGAATCCCAAATATTATTCCGTTCTTCATCATGGAATCCAAAATGAAGAAGGACCATATTGTCAAAATCTGATATTCTGACGACAGGAGATGGTGAAGGCCGAGTTTGGCCTAACTACCAACACTCATGTTTAAGGCCAATCAACCTGTCTACCTCAGGCGTTTTCTTGCAATTACATCAGGCATCTCAGGATTAAACCCACTGCCAATGGGAACACATGCAAATAGAAAATAGGCTCTTAAATTTACATAATTTGAGAACTTTGGTGACAACGAAGTCACGAGTAAGGAAACCACTTTTCCCTGTGGACAGCTCAATACTGTCTTTGTTGTAAGACGGACTTCGCCTTAAGCAGTCATTTGAAAAATCATAAAAGAGATTTCAAACAGTATTGGATTTTTCGTCATGCTACTCAAGTGTACTGGTGAGCTACAAGAATCTATAGTAGAGCTCAGGGTTTTTGGTAGGTTTCGGTGACGTACGTATCGACGGCCTTAGCAAATGGTCATTTGAAGCTAGAATGGCTCCTTTATGAATACAGTAAATTGCTCAAGTTTGCAGAGTGTATTGGCCTACTTGCAGGGCATGTGTACGCACGGATACTATCGACCATACTGCAACAGTAGTCCGTATAACAAGCATCTGCGCCAGTCTAGAAGCGAATTATTTAGGAGTTCTAAAAATCATTGAGCGATTCATAATAGGAGGTCTATGTCTTGATCAGAAAGCTATTAAGACACTTCAGCACATATCTGGGAACTTATGAAGAAAGATAATTCCACACCCTTCTTTGTACTTCTTCTGTTGATGTCCCTTATTGGAAAAGTTCGTCATATAATTCTGGTTTGAGAATTTGGTTTAGGTTTAATGTTGTTATTCAAGTATTATACTATTCCTGTGTAGGATAACACGTTGCATAGCCATAAACTGCATCTTGGTTCGGATGGTGTGCACAACGCACGCTGGTGTGCATGGATGCATGCATAATTCTGCATCTTGGATGAAGACGCCGCAGTACGCGGTCAGAGCAGAAAACATGTTAAACAGACCTAGTCAAGCTTCAGTATCTCGTAGCAATATTATGTCAACATTCCGGACGTAGAAGCATCTTAGCCCAGCCGGTGAAGGAATTTAGTAGATCTAACTGTAGTCTCTGTCGCTTCGTATCAAACTATGCAACCAAACTGTTAGTTAGGCATCTTGTTCTGTGGACTTTTTCTAGTATTTATCTGACCTGTGGTTGGTGCTGCACACGTCACCGATATTCCGGGAAAGACAGGATATGCCTGCACTGTGTTCTGACTACTCTCTGTAAACCTTTGGTCAGACCCCGAAAACTCCCGCCAAACTGCATATATAACTTGGTTGATTATTGGGCCAACTGATACCAGCCACATGACCATTAGGTGTTTTACTAAGGATGGCACGTTCACTGTTATGCATCTGGTGGATTTACTCCAATTGCATTCTTTTAACTGCCATCCAATCCTATTCCGTGACTGAATACTAAATTAACCGGGACTTCTGAACGGAGAGACGAGTTGTTAGGCTAAACAGTCTCATTATCCATGAGCAGTCCAACGGTTGTGACTGAATCAGAGGATATTTTCAGCAAAATACAGATAACTAGACATGCTGTAAGCTACTTAGAAACAGACTACGGACGGATTCCTATACTCTGCTTTACTACCGTATTAGCCAAGCACAAGTGGCAGTCAGATAAGTTTGCAGCGGCTTTACCAGCTGTATCATCAACAACTCTGAGGAAGGATACGACCTACCACATAGACCGCCGTCAACACTGATCACAAATAAACTTTACTAAACTATGAAAAGGAAACTGCGAGTAATGCAAACCTTTTTATTAAACAATACGAATTTCCTATTGGAATTATATCCCATGCAACTGAAACTCTGGGATAGAGAACCTAATTGGAGTGGTGCCCAGATGTATTCACCGGAATACCCTCGAATGCTTGTTGGCAACCAGAAAGGGGACGATATCCGTCTGTATAGAAAGAAGTGGACGTACATGAATTCAAAAATTTAAGATTATCATTACGAGATCCAGCCGTGGTAACATAATTCATTGGGAATATTCATAGACTCATCGGTGGTACAAGTGAAAATAACTACCGTACTGTGACTTGTCTTTGAAACCTGCATTAACTGGAATTCATTTAATCCAGAATTGCTAAATCACCTCCAAAGCTTGCCAATAACATTTTACGAGAAATGTAGTAGTTACTCATAATATATCGGAGAAAAAAGTAACACAAGAAAGTCGAATAAATTACTTAAAAGGCGAAGATGTTTGTGGGACTTATAGATTTCAAGTTCATACCACTCTCGTTTAAACAGTTGTTCTCCTATCCTGGTGCAATTAGTCTGGTGGGCCCGCATCAGTGAAGAAATAATGACCTTGCACTTGTTAGAGCTCATCAGTGGTGCATATCCTTATTCGTGCCTAGGTTCGAACTCCGGACATCTGACATGCGATGTGAGCGTGTTAGCACTGCACCCGCGTACGCTGGATGCATGTGATTTTTCAAGTCTGAACAGATGAACGTGTTTATACTTGACTGAAATTTCAAAGGCATTGAAAACCATGCTGTTGATACAGTGCTAATGCAGTTTCATGAAAGAATTTGTACTCCTAAATTTTCGCACCAGCGAGCAGGATTTCAGTAGCTGAGCTTCTGTAAGCTTAGAGGTCCTTTGACAAGTTGTCACGTGAGGTAAAGATTAACTCCTCGCCTGATTTAAGCTGCTACAAGACCTATGTGTATGTAAAAAGTCTGTTGAAACTCAGCAGGCACGGCGACTGGAAAACAAGCCAGTTGTCTGTGCACAGTAAAACATGTTCTTTCAAACTAGTCAAGGCACGACTCTTTGTTTATGTGATGCTCTCTTGACAGAATCCAGCCTCTTGGTGATAAAACGCGGACAGTCAAGGAGAACGCTGTGTGAAGTATTTCATTATTTTATCAAGTTTTGCTTCTTTTTCGTCTGTGGCCTTTGTTAACCACCGCACGCGTAACTGATGAAGCGTACAGTGTTGACAAAAGAGACCTATAGACAATCGGCCAGCGGCGCTGGAACACTAAGAGACTCAGAAAGCTGTCTGTGTTCTAATTCATTGTTTGAGAAGAGTTGACACTAAACATGTTTTTGTCACAAAACACTGAAGACAAGATGGCAGCTGGCCTTATTGTTCAAGAAGTGCTTGGGGCAGAAAAGAGTGAGAATCACTACTTAAAAAAGTCAACTCGCCTGATCTCGTGGTAAGCCGTTCAAAAACCCAAAAAGTAAACATTTAAGTCCGTTTTAATTGCTCTTGGACCTATCTTCAGACTGTCAGTGATCGGGCATTTAATCAAATGCATTTAAGCAAATGCCATCTTTGTCCTTGCCCGGGATCACACTTTGTCTACAACCGCTATCCAACTAATGGGAAAGCCTGCTGAAGTACTCATCAAATTGTCGGTGAGATTGAAAAGCCAAGTCAATCGGTTTGGTCACCGTTCGATATTGGTGCGACTCGAATTAAGTACCACAACTTGTGGAATACGTGTACCAAGCCTTGGTTATAACCACAAAAGCAACAGCTGGCCGGTCGTGACCTTGAGAAGCGCAGCACAATGACCAACTTCATATTTTATTACCTGTAAAGTACCAGAAAGGACTTATGATGCCTGTATTTTCATTCTTCCTTTCTCTTTTTTTGATCCATCTGACACCACCCACGAGAGCCACTTCTGGATCGGCCCTTTCTGTGTGGTGAATTACATGCCGCACATTTCACTCAACTCTATTCACTGATTCATCAAGTGACTAGTGAAGACCAAGCAAATATATCACAAGGACAAAACATGCATTTACCTCGAAAAAATTTGGCGTATTCTACCCTTTCTCAGGCACACCGAGCTACGTAGTTCTGCGAGTTCGTCAGCAGTTGGGAACATCTACACGGTCTTAAGACTACTGTGGCCCCTGGAGGTACAAGACTATTTTGCCAGTGAATACCCAAAAGTATAACCAACCTAGACCCCAGAAAGAGGTGGTAATGAGGAGCATTCATTTACAATCTGGAATGTTTTATGAATACTATCCTCCAAGTGCAGTTAATTGGCAGATTGCCACATTCCATCCACAATTGTGTAGGCAGAAATTTTCCCGTTGTAACGAGAGGGTCAACTGTTCTGTCCACTCTGATGATGGATGAGACCAATGAAAAAAATCCACCAGTACACAAAACCTGTTTAACCTTACAAGCAGGAATCATTAATTAATTAATTACTGAGTTCCCTTATCGCTCGGTTTATGTCGCATATATATATATATTTGGGGGTATGTTTGTCCCTCAGGACAGTGCATGTGTACACAAAAAGATATTGTCTATCGCCCGGACCATCTGTTGACTTTATGTGTGGGCCAATGGCAACCTTATAGCTTTGCTGTGGTATATCGTCCTCCTGCTATGTGTTAGGGAGATGGAGGGATTTGGAATATGCTTCCCAGTTCGAGAGGACATATAGCTTCGGTTCACTGTTTCAGCTGGTGAACGGTACGCCCCTTGTAGATTCCAGGGAAACGCTTTTAAGTTGTTCAGTCAATGATGTTGAATAAATCCAAGTAGCACAGTAAGAAGATGAATTTTTCATGTTGTCGGCATCGCGTTTTCATCCATTCAACCGCAATACGAAAAACTATCAATTTTGCATCAAAGGTAGGAATAAATAGCAATGAAAAGCATGGTGATCCTAACTTAACAAATCATATCTTATGCAAACTAATTCAGTCATGTTCTGTTCTCAATTTTAATGCAAGACGATGCATATATGCACGATAACTTGGTCGGTAGTGACCGATCAACATTACCTCACGGAGGGTTAAAACTTCGAGTTGACGTTGAGAAGTGAGATTCTGAAGGTCGTATTGGGGTCAACTCTGTGTCCAGCACATAGAATGTGAGATCAGCGAGGCAGTTTTCCGGGTCTCCGCTTGCAGGCAATCGGTCGAACGGTCAATCGATTAGTCGCCCGACTCAGATAGTGAGATAAATGTTCTCAGCCTTGTTCGCATGAGCTCCTATCTGCTCTGTTCGTTTATGTTTCACCGCAATTGCATGTGAACGTGAAGCAGAAAGATTGGTTACAGCAAGCAGCGTACATTGGAGATTGCCTTTTCTTGTTGGGTATCTGAGACCAATTGCAGCACGTACTTTTACCGTATGGCTTCGTTTATTACACTCTGATAAAGACCCCTTTCCTTTTTATTGGGACTTTAAACTCCTGATTTCGCCGTGGTGTACTGTTGACGTTTCTCTGGGTAGCTGTTAAAAATTAGTACCCATTTTAAGATCTTCTATTTGTTTTCAATAAAGATTTCACCCTACTGCTGAGAACAGTCTATGGAGAAAAGCCGAAATGTGTGTGGTCATTTCATCCTTGTTGGGAATGATCAACATTGTGCAGCTCACAAAACTCAGAATTTCCGACCTTCCAACTACCAGCCAGTGCAAGCATAACCATTTGGCCACAAGCGGCTGACCAGCAATGTAAATAGCCCGTTCTGTTCTTGCTGAAGAGAATCAAGAGGCGTCAGGCCAAGGTTACCAATCAACGACTGCGAATAATTCTGGCGCAGTCGAACGAAGTGGGTACTAGTCTTCCCTTGTAAGCTAAAGCAGCAAAGCTGGAAGGTGTAAATATTGCCCAGCTCATATAGGCTTGTGATGCACAGAACTCCTAAAAGAACTCCTTCTGGACGTCTGACAATAGGAATATTTAAAAATACCAAGATGTTCCCATTCTCTATCTCAAAAATGTTGGACGCAAATTGTTCATATGGTAGCGCAGGTTATTAAACTGGTTCCAGTTTGAAAGCTAAAATGTTTGCATATCATTGCAGAGTATAGTCTTGAATATATGGTCCTAAGGCTGTCCTGCAATCATGTCTAAAAAGACATCTGCTAATGAAAGTGCACACAGGCTGCTAATGCCACATCATTCACTGGCTTATAGTTGTGATCTTCAAATACAAAGCGGAAGTTTTAAGTGCACAGAAGATCAACTTTCAACTATTTCAATGGAATTCGCATATTGATTTTGTTAGCGGTAATGAAGTAGCGCAATTACTATATAGTCTGATGCAACGGAAAATTAATCACTAAAAGGTTGACGTCTACAGAAAGCACATTTTAGGGGGTCAGTGACAGTTTTTCAATAAGTTGCGTGAGTTCAGAACAATCCTTGCACAGTAGTGTGCAACAGCCCCACGGATTGTAATGAATAAACAACTTGTTCGCATACAAACCGGCATGCACTACAAATTCGGTTGAGATTTGATAGAAGTTCCAGTTTGCATTGTTCTTCAGTTAGCAGCGTACTTCAAAAGATACCTGAGATTCAGATGATTCACGCTTCTCGATAGCAAATTAGATTTATTTTACGGGAAGGCATAAGAGTGTTGTCAACTTATTTTCAGATCCGGATTTGATCCGTAATTCTGATAAAAAGTAGTTAAGGGATGGTTCAGCAGTTCTCACATAGGGTCAAACATAACACTGATTTACTCAGCTGAGGGACATCTCGAATGGGGTCTCTTTTAGTCATTCTGGCACAAAATAATCCGTAACAGGTGAACCCGATGTGCATTGCCTTATTCAACTCGACTTGGACGGACCTAGTTCTGTAAATGGGGGCTTATTATTCCAAGCGGTCAAGTGCACACAAAGAAGTGATTTCATATCATCTGAACCGGTCCTAAGGAATTTAGTGCGAGATGCCGCCTAACTAGTTGATTTTCATTCCGTTGTTTGATGAATGCTAGAGTGAATGCTGAGCCTGATCGAAGGAATGATATTTCCAGTTGTAAAGTGTATGATCCAAATCGTATTTTATCGGAAGTATCCAATCAGCCGCTGTCTAGGATTGTGTTTAATAAAGCGACTAGATTGTCATCTTTGGTTTTCATACCGCTTAAATGAATTGAGTTACCACCGTTGTTGGGAATAATGGGTAGAAACTCAGTTTTCAGCCGCACTGCACCCAAACAGGAACAACATTTTCAAAGTAGATTATCACTAGATTATTGGATTTGTCACCTTAATGAAGTGTGTCGTGCGTAAACAAGTGCCGAGCGGATGTCGCAAGGTGTGCAAACATAACTTGAAGTTGAGGTCAATCGATTGTCAACCACTATGAGGGCAGTGAACTGATGTTCAATCCTGAGATGCCTGCTTCACGGAGCTAGATCAGGTACTGTCGGAACATTGCATAGTCTTGTGTTACATGGGACGTTTATTGGTTTGCGCGTTAGCATACTATGGCTTGGGTTTTTGTCTTTGATATCGCAGTGACTCTTTTAGGAGAAGGACGATCACAGTTACTTCGCATTCCTCATGATAAAGAGTTATTCGTTGATAGAATTTTATTCTAAGAAATGAAATACTGTAAACTTCACATGGGACTCGCTGGATTGAGTTCCTCCGTCATGCATTGTTAACCATGCTGAGCAACTCACAACACAACTATTTTCGGGGTCCACTGTGGATTATATAACAGTCTCTCATATGGCTTCTTGGATGTGAAGGGCATAGTAGACATTAGCACAATTTTTAGAATCAAGCGTGGTCCCAAAACTTCCTTTTTGACAAATTGTTTCTAGATTGAGTGGTGGTATGAAAAGTTTGCTTTCCTTAATTTTTGAGCGAGCGTAAACGGCTCGTCTTATTATTAGTGGGGGATGCTTGTACAGCAAGCACGTTTTGGCGTCTATTTGTAAAAAATCCCGTTCCACTAGGAATAGCTTACTTCTGCCCAATGGTACGCTAAACGATTTTCTAATTGCCGTACCCGCATGAAATTGTCCGTTACTGCTTTAGGGCGTCCGGTTCGATTTTTTGCTGTGGCACAACCAGTCTGTTCGCAGGTGTTTAGTCTGAAAATAATGCACTGAGTGGAAGGGAGGTCTATGGATCGCACACGACTGGAAAAGTCATTACGAGAGAAACCACTACCCAAAATGAAGCCATTTCTTGCTTTTTGTTTATACACATTGGAAGCCTGAGAGTTTTTCACCGGTTTTATTATATCTTGCAAAAAACCGGCAGTAAGAGAAGTTGGTAGATCCAGTAATTGGGAAACAACTTGGTAGCTAAATGAATTTCAATGAACTTTTTTATTTTTGCAAAAAGATATGAAAGACTGACAAATAATGCCTATAGTTTTTGGATCGGCGGCAAAGTTCTGTACTCCCGTATACATAAAAAACTATTGTAAAACCTGATTCGACGATCTTATGGAAATCTTGGACGCCTTTTTTAGACTTTGGCGACAGACGACACTGTTCTTTACCGCTTCTAGTAGCTGAACAAAGCTTGAAGGAGAGGATAAAATGATTTTAGAGAAACAAAACTTTCCACTATAGGATATCAATGGTGTGCATTAAGCGGTATCCCATAAAAGAGCCTTCTGTTTCTGAATTTGAAATAGTTTTAACATTTTCCAAAATTTCACATACTTGGGTAGCAATTTCGTGGAATCCTTTGGTGAATCAACCGGTAAGGAAAGAGTAGCCGATCAGTTCATACTGACCTGACGAAAGTAGTCAACTAGGTAAGCTTACTTGAGGTCTTCGATGATATTGAGAAGAACTTGTGGATGCCAGATTTTTGGGACAGCAGGTTTCGAGTGTAGCTTGGGAGAAATCAGTCACACGGCTTAACGAAAGAACCCTGAGGCAGGTAGAGAAAGGAAAGACCCCGAAGTGCACATGAATTGTATTCATATGCATGTGAAATAGTCCGGTTTCACACCATTTACCTGGAGATTAAATAATAGGGGTGGGATGGTACCGTAGCTGTAGTTTTGCAAGGAGGATCAAACCATTTTGTTGCCGTCGGATTTCTGATACAGTCAAAACATTCCCATCTCAATGGAGACTAAAATAGACTATGCTGACCTTCATTTGTGCGAAGAACCATTTTCCAGCTCATCGAAATGTAAACCACGTTTCTTGAATCCTACTGAAGTTTATTTTTTACCCTAATTTGCAGTTTTATAAACACTTTGTTTTTCAAACCCCAGTATATTGGTCCTCATACCAGAATTATCTTTTCTAGGGCAGCTTTGAGTGAGATAGCCCACAAATGAGCGAACGGTTCAATTCAGATGAAATTAGGGAGGAAAAATTCGAATCTCGGAATGATATACAATCACGTCAGTTCTCTACACGAAAAGTTGTTTTACTTGCCAGAACATCCCTTTTGCTGTTATTATTGTATAGTTGAGAGAAGCAGGTGACGTGCAAGAGAAGCCGTAATGGTTTTCAGCTAGACGTGGACGACTTAAGTCATACAACAGTTTTGATCAAGAAGTTACGCTATAGGAATTGGCGTTTTCAGCTAAGACAAAATAGCACCGTTCAACTTGCCTTTAATGGAACTTCCTTGGGTAACGGTTGCCAAATCCTATCTACATTTTCATATATGATATAGATATGAAAATGTAGATTGGATTAGGCACTGAGGACATCAGAAACACCTTTATTGACACTGGTCGGTATAATTTCTGCCAACAGATGTTTTTTCTCAGATGATTCCTCGCATTTTTTCTTATGAACTAGGCGGATGTGACTCCCTTCTGCCCACTCCATTTTTACTTTAAGAACTATTTAAGAACTACGTGAGGTGATGCCCAAATAGCTTATTTTTCACCAACAGCATCTCAACCTTTGCACAAAGCTGGTTATTTTGTCTCTGGTTATTCCCTTTTCTGTTGTGTGCTGTACAGTGAACTACCCTTCATGGAAGATTTCGAGGTTCATAAAAGCAACAACTGTGCTTCGTGTTTTCTAATAATGAGGGAAATATTTCGATTCATTCGGAAACTTCAATTCACTGTGAATAATATATGACTGGTTAAGGAAACTCTTTT